GCATTTGGATGTTCCCGGCTGCCCAAATAACCACGACCTCCCCGCTCCATGTCACTTAGGGGGATCCTTCTCCCTCACAAGGATGCTCAAGGCAGGTCACCCATCGCTCCCCGGGTCTCTCAGTGTATCTGCAAGGCGGGGACGATACCTGCTGCGCTCAACGAGATTATTTGTGTGTCATTAAATTACAGGTGCGTCTCGGGAGGCTCAGCCTGGTCGTTTCCTTGCAGCCTGCAGCCCTCCTCTGCTGCAGTTTTAGTGCAGTAAAGGAGGAAGCACGTTGATTCCAGCTAAATCGGAGTGGGTGTGTGAATTATTTCAGTTGGACGGTAGGAAAACATGTAGGTGAGCGCTTCCTCCTTTTAGACAAGTGTCACAGGATCTGTAATAACTGGGCCAAGATCTCAGGCTAATGCTTGACCTAGAAGTGGAGCCAAGCTTTCCAAATCACACAGTGTGTTTTAAAACTCTTGACCCTGAAATAACATGAGGTGAACACCTCTCTTGTGTGCTGCCTGCCGTTCCAGCTGCCCAGCCCATTCGTGCTGCGTTGCTGAGCACCTTACATGCAGCCTAGAATAATTCAACCCATTGTATGGAGAATTTACCCGGTGTTGTAAGAAGCATCATGTCTTTTCTCAGTAACGTTCAATGAGTCGGGGTGGTTATTTTCTTACCTGCTTAAGCTTGCTTGGTGGTGGGTTTTTTGGGCTGAGTTACAGCTGTTGAAAGGCATCGGTGCGCCTGTCTCCAAACGCGCATGCGGCTCGTCGGCCCATCGTACCAGACGCGTCGTTGCTGGGATAACGTGTTTGGGTTTCTGAGGGTGTCAGCCCAGATTTTCCCTTTGTGGTCTCTTGGCAAAAGGGGGAAAACCATTCGACAGTATCTCAGCCCCAGGCCCTTGGCCGCAGCTGCCAACCCAAACACTGGCAAAAGCCTTGAAGGAGCCTGTCCCCAGGCGCCTGCTGTCCCAAGCCCACCCGTGGGGCCTCAGCTGGTTCCACCCCAAGGAAACCTTTAGAAAACCTATTACTAGAATTGAATTTCCCCACTGTGTTGAGACTGGGCTAAGAGAAGTGATGCCAGCATCACAACAGCAAATCTGAACAAAATCTGGCTTCTCGGTTGAAGGTCTATAGAGTAGTCACTGCAAAGCAGGACCGATCATGTTAAAGGAGTAATTGCTCCACTGGCTGAAAAGATTAACTAATATAGTGTGAAAAAACCCCGCTGTGTCTCTTGCTGCCCCAGGAACATGCGAGGGCACAGGAAGCAAAAGGAAGGTGCTTCTCAAATGCTTGTCGGATCTTTTTGAGCAGCAATGGCACGCACCGACTGCTGCTGCTCTCTCTGATCATGCTGCTCTGCTATTCCTTCATTCATGATTTCACTTTGCAGTTTGCAGCAAGCGCAAAAATGTGGGTGTTTAATTCATTGCAAGTACAACATTGATTTCAGTTTGGAAAACAGCCTAAAGTGCCTCCTCGTGAAGCTAATTCTGGTATTGCACATACTCATAGTCCTGTGGCTTGCATTTTTATGAGCTACTTCTGAGGATCTGGGTTTCAGTATGTGGAGCCAGAAAGGATCAGTGTGTTCTTATGCTGACTAACCCACCTACGCTTCGTTTCTTATTTGCAAGCATATCTTGCATGATTTGTGTTATCCCTGATAAAATGGCCTGATATTCCTGGAAGCAAGTGTGCTGGCATTTAGGCCATTGCTTAGCAAAGTGGGGTCAACTGTTGTAGCTGGGGTAGGGGTTGTACTAACATTTGTAACTTCTGGTGCCTGGATGCTGCCTTTTCATCTGGGAGTGGACACAGTGAACCTGAAAAGGTGGGGAAAGCATTGCTCAGCCATTTTATAATTGGGAAAGTCAGGGCCCAGAGAGCTGATGCTATCAAGTGATGGTGATGCAGTAATGGAAGCCAGGAGCAGACTGCAGGTCTCCTGACTCCCTATCTGGTAAGGGGAGAACCAAGATCAAGATTGACATCAAGAATGTGGTCCAGGGGAGCCACGGGTAAAGCCCTGTCAGCCCTTTTATTGGGGCATGGCAGGCACCCGGTGTGTGGAAGATAAGGATCTGCTGTTTCATCAAGTAACCCCCAGCTCCATGCACAAGGAGGTGTATGGACAGAGAGGGTCAGGAGATGATCTTCCCAGCAGCATTTTGATGGAAAGGCCTTTACTGTCACAATCCTTCTTCCTTTGTGCTATTTTGTCCCCACTTATTGATGGAGGAAGAGAAGCTGAGGTAGTCTGCAGTGGCGTGGCCTCTCAAAGCTGGTTACTGCCTGGCAGGGAGAGCCTGAGGCTGTGGCTCACAGGCCTGTGCATCAGCCTCCTCCTCCCCTCCATCCTGCCATCCAGGCTATTAAGGAAGATGGTTTATCACGTAATGATAAAACCCAATTTCCGGCCATGCTGTTGACTCACTCCGTGTCTGTAAGCAAAGAGCGAGCTTCATTCCTCAGTTTCCCCATCAGTAAAAGGGGATAACAACATTGCTCCATCCCTCCAGGCAGCTGAGCTGTTTCTTTGATTGCTTAATGGTTTCAGGTACAGGTGCCTGGCAGCCACAGTTCTGCCTTCAGGGCCATCAGGGGTTTATTGCCCAGCTATTCTGGGTTATTGCCCCCAGTCGCCTTGTTCCCTTGGGTGGTGGAAGGGGGTATGATCCTGTTCTCCTTACTCTGGGAAGACTCCAGCAGATGCCACAGCCAGGGAAGAACAAAGACTCAGATGCAATTTGGATTAGCTAAACATTAAGCTATGTCCAGGTGGAAATAAGCACCTACAGCCCCGGAGCAGCATTCCTGAGGCACAGGTCACGGGACGTGTGAGTACGTGTGTGGGGTCCGCTGGCACGGGAAGGGACCTGGTGTGCAGGCCTGGAGCCAGCCCTCTGTCATGGCTGAGCTCCATCCATTCTGGTTTGCCTGGAAAGAGCGTTCTAAAAATTGCTAGTCTTTCCTCGCTAAAGTAGGTGAAATATTTATAAATCCATCCTCTAGAGGAGACCTTTTGCGTAAGCATCAACCACTCCGACTTCAAAAGGCGCACGCACCCGCACCCCCCCCC